CTTAGAGAGAAGGGAAAGTTGCTGCAAGTGTGGATCCGGGAGAGGCAACAGAGGGAGCCTGGATTCGCTGCCAGGGTCAGAGCCTACCTACACTGAGCTGTGAATGCCTTGAGTGGCCTGGTTGGGTGAGAGAAAGGGCTTAAAGAAATGTGGACGGCCTTAAAGAAACGTCTGCATTACTCTCTGTAGATGGAGATTTTTTAGATGGTGGCATATTCCCGGCAGCAGTTCATATGACTTTATTAGATCCTAATTGTCAGTATTTATTTTGATCACATCTTTAGCATTTGTACAGATCTCTTATGGGAGGAAGAGGAATCCAATTAAAATGATTTATAGTTAACTTGAAATAATGAAAACACTTAATATGGGAGTTAAATAATTTTCCTTTGAATCACATCTATGACCACTGTTACTGTGATCCTGAATGTTATTTTCACAGAAAGTCGGTACAGTACAATGGGAAAAACTCTAGGGGTAAAAAGACTTGGATTCAAATCCTGAATGCTGCTTTTGTTTCTATTTTATGTGTTTTATGGCCTTTCTGAGCCTCAACTGCAAAATGAGTATGATGCAACACACTTTATGGTGTTAATATAAAAATTTAATAAGATAGTGTTAGGTGCTTAGCACACTACTTAGCATAGAAACTGTACCCACCCAGTATTTGTAACCTTTCATTACCTTTTTTTTTTAAGATTTTATTTATTTATTTGACAGAGAGAGACAGTGAGAGAGGGAACACAAGCAGGAGGAGTGGGAGAGGGAGAAGCAGACTTCCTGCTGAGCAGGGAACCTGATGTGGGGCTTGGTTCCTTAACAACTGAGCCACCCAGGCACCCCATTACTTTCTTTTTTTTAAATTAATTAATTTATTTGACAGAGAGAGCACAAGCATGGGTAGGGGGAGAGGGAGAAGCAGGCTCCCAGCTGAGCAGGGAGCCCGATGTGGGGCTCGATCCCAAGACCCTGGGATCATGACCTGAGCTGAAGGCAGACGCTTAACCGACTGAGCCACCCAGGCACCCCCCTTTCATTACTAAGTCTCCTTATGTTGGTATAAGAAGGTTTCCTGAAAGAGGAAATATTCTCTTCTTTCTAAGAACAGTATCTTGTATCATGCCATTAAATATTTCACATCTGTAATGTTTGAAGAAAATTTGGGCTTTTCATGGGAACAATGATTTTTATAGTTTTTAAGTTATTTTTCTCCAGAATCGATGACAGGAATGGCCAAAGTTGTTTTCCTTTCATATAGATTTCCTTTCATATAGATTTCCTTCATATAGATTTCAAAAGAAATCTATGTTAAATGATTTATATAGTTGTCTTCTGATATTTGGGTAGGAATTTTTTTTCCTCTTTCTTTTTAGGTGTGAAGGAGAATTCCAGGAGAAAAAGGATAGTAAAAGTTTAAAAATCAAGCAGAACTTGAGACGAAGGCTTCTGATTCAGGATGGGTTGGCAGAGTATCAAATTGGCAAAACCTAAAGTTTCATTATTATATTAGGTGATGCTGATGGAATTGAAAATTTTATATGCTATGCACCTACTGACATTTCCAAGTTGACAGCTTCTCCAGCACCTACTCTTTTGGAGGACAAATTGACAGGATCAAAATTTAAAGTTACTCATATTCAGCAGTTTTACTCCTTGGTATTTATAGGTGGTACTTCACATGTTTACAGGGATATTTGCCAGAACATGGTTTGTAATAGTGAAACACTGAAAGCATCTTGAGTATCATCAGTAGAGGAATAGATAAGAAAAGTAAGGTATCTCTATACAATAAAATACTGTGTGGGAATTAAAAAAGCTAAGGTAAATCTATATGTAATGAACTCTAAGACATGGTATTGAGAGAAAAAGAAGCATCGTATGCATAATATGTCACTTATATATTTTATTTTTTTTTAAGATTTTATTTATTTATTTGACAGAGGGAGAGAGCACAGGCAGGGGGGACAGTAGAGGGAGAGGGAGAAGCAGGCTTCCCACCAAGCAGGGAGCCCGATGCGGGGCTCAAACCCAAGACCCTGGGATCATGACCTGAGCTGAAGGCAGACGCTTAACCATCTGAGCCACCCAGGCTCCCCGTCACTTATATATTTTAAAAACTATGTTTCTGTAAGTACAGACATGCATATAAGTGTACCAGGAAAGGACTGGAAAGGATACTTACTAATCTTAGAAGTGTCTACCTCTGAGAAAGGGACTGGGACAGGGTAGGGGTCCTCAGAAACATAAGCTTTATTTTTACTATTTGTAATTTTTTATTTAAAAACTTTTAAAAAGTTTTTTTAAATTCTGGTAAAACACACATAACATAAAATTTATCATCTCAACTATTTTTAAGTGTCTAGTTCACTAATGTTAAGTACATTCACATTGTTTTGCAACCAATCTCCATAGCCCTCTTTTCATTCTGCAAAACTGAAGCTCCGTGACCACTGAACAATAACTCCTCAGTGCCCCTTCCCCCAGTCCCTTGCATCCATTAATCTACTTTCTGTCTCTATGAATGACTAGTATAGGTACCCCATATTAGTGAAAATTATACAGTATTTGTCTTTTTCTGACTGGTGTATTTCACTTAGCATAATGTTCTCAAAGTTAAACCATTTGTCAGAATTCCCTCTCTTTTAAAGGCTGGATAATATTCCATTGTATGTATATACTGCATTTCATTTATTCATTCATCCATTGATGGAGACTTGGGCTACTTCCACCTTTTGGCTATTGTGAATAATGCTATGAACATGGGTGTACAAATATTTCTTTGAGACCCCGCTTTCAGTTATTTTGGGTTTATACCCAGAAATAGAATTCCAGGATCATACGGAAATTCTGTTTTTAATTTTTTAAAGAAATTTGCTATACTGTTTTCCATAATGGCTGTATCATTTTACATTTCCCACCAACAGTGCACAAGGTTTCCAATTTTTTCACATCCTCGCCAACACTTGTTTTTGTTTGTTTTGATAGTAGCCATCCTAATGGATGTAAGATGGTATCTCATTGTGGTTTTGATTTGCATTTCCCTACTGATTTGTGATATAGATTATCTTTTCATGTGATTATTACCATTTGTATATCTTTTTTGGAGAAAATATCTATTCAGGTTATTTGCCAGTTTTTAAATCAGGTTGTTTGCTTTTTTTGTTTCTGAGTTTTAGGAGCTCTTTATATATTCTGGATATTAACCCTGTATCAGTTTGATTTGCAATTATTTTCTCCATATTATTCCATAGAGAGCCTATTTCACTCTCTTGTATCCTTTAATACACAAAAGTTTTTAATTTTAATGTAGTCCAGTTTATTTTTGTTTTTGTTACCTCTGATTTTGGTATCATATCTAAGAAATTATTACCAAATCCAATGTTATGAAGATTTTCCCCTGTTTTCTTTTTTTTAAAAGATTTTATTTATTCATTTGTCAGAGAGAGAGAGAGGGAGAACCACAAGCAGGGGGAGAAGCAGGCTCCCCATTGAGCAAGGAGCCTGATGCAGGACTCGATCCCAGGACCCTGAGATCATGGCCTGAGCCGAAGGCAGATGCTTAACCGACTGGGCCACCCAGGAGACCCTCCCCTATGTTTTCTTCTAAAAGTTTTATACTTTAGTTCTTCTGTTTAGGTCATTTGATCCATTTTCAGTTCATTTTTGTATATAGTATAATATAAATGTCCAGTTTCATTCTTTTGAATATGGATATCCGTTTTTCCTGACACCATTTGTTGAATAGACTGTTCTTTCCCCTACTGAATGGTCTTGACACCCTTGTTGAAAATCATTAGTTTGTAGGGGCACCTGGGTGGCTCAGTCGGTTAAGCGTCTGCCTTCGGCTCAGGTCATGATCCCAGGGTCCTGGGATCGAGCCCCGCATCGGGCTCCCTGCTCTGCGGGGAGCCTGCTTCTCCCTCTCCCACTCCCCCTGCTTGTGTTCCCTCTCTCGCTGTGTCTCTCTCTATCAAATAAATAAAATCTTTAAAAAAAAAAAAAAAAAAAAAAAAAAAAAAAAGAAAATCATTAGTTTGTATATGTGACATTTTATTTCTGAATTCTATTTTATTCCATTAATGTATATATCTGTCTTTATGCCAGTACCACACTGTTTTGATTACCTTGGTAGTAAATTTTGAAACCAGGAATTGCTAGACTTTCAGCTTTGTTTGGAGTCCCTTGTGATTCCATATGAGTTTTAGGGCAGAGTTTTCCATTTCTGCAAAAAATGTCATTGGGATTTTCACAGGGTTTACATTTAATCTGTAGATGCTTTGGTATTATTGGCATCTTAATGATATTAAGTCTTCCAATCCATGAACTATGTGCATTTTTAAATAATCAGAATATACTGTTGTACTATTTGTATAATGAAGCATAAATAAATTTTTTAAAAGGAGTTGCTGGCAGAGGGAACTGGTTTCTTTTTTCTCTTTCAGTTTTGTTGAGATATAATTTACATTCAGCACTGGATAAAGTTTAAGGTGTCTATCACAATGGCTTAAGGTGGTCAAGAGGTACAGACCTCCAGTTCGAAGATAAATAAATACTGGGGATGTAATGTATAACGTGACTATAGTTAACACTACTGTATGGTATATTTGAAAGTTACTAAGAGTAGATCATAAAAGTTCTTACCACAAGGGACTAGTAAATTTCTAATGTCAGTTCATGTGTCTTTACTGGATCTCATGTTCCAATTTTTATAAATTGGCATCAGTTCTAGAAGCAGAAGCATAAATTAGATATTAGAGAGATGATTATCTGACTATAGGTGTTCATGATAAGAAAATGTTTGTGGCTTAATAAATTAAACAAATTGAATTAAATAATTTATTGTTAACAAATAGGCTTACTTAGACATTTGATGATATTACCTAAGCTCAGATAACAGTTTTATCTTGCATGTTTTGCTCATTCGCAAATAAACTTTAGTCCCTTTGATCAAAAACCAGTTATTCTATTCATGCCATTTAAAATTGTGTCTCATTGAACAGAGAGACTGTTGGGTTTTATTTCATGAAGATTATCTGTGAACATTTTAAGTCATCAGAAAATATTGGAAAAGCTCTACTGCTCCACATTGACATGCTTTTACAAAGAAAGGAAGAACTGCTTGCCAAGGAGAAGATTGAAGAAATCATTTTAGGTCAGTAGGATTTCTGCAGGTTTTATTATTTTTTTACTTTTATTTTTTTAAGATTTTATTTATTTGTCAGAGAGAGAGAGGGAGAGAGAGAGAGCACAAGCAGGGGGGAGCAGCAGGCAGAGGTGAAGCAGGTTCCCTGCTGAGCAAGGAGCCCCATGTGGGACTTGATCCCAGGACCCTGGGATCATGACTTGAGCCAAAGGCAGACACTTAACTGACTGAGCCACCCAGGTGTCCCTTCTGCAGGATTTAGAAAGGTGTTAATATGCATGTAATTCTTAGATGTCAGAACAGTGGCAAAATCCTTAGGTCAGTGGATCCCTTTTTCTCACTTCCTTTTTTTCTCCCTAATAACCATTAGCTATAACACCTCCCTGATCTAGATTTCACAAACTAGAATGAGAAACAGCAAAAATAGCAAAACATCAGCAAAAACAGACAAACCTCTGAGCTTCAATCTCTTGTGTAGTGAAAAATTGTGAGGTTAAAGGCCTAATTTCATGATTTCAGTGTGATCTCCAATAAGCTCTGTGTGCCTTCTGGCAAGTTAATAACATCTCTGGATCTTGTTTTTTTCTAACTATAAGACAGAGGTTGTGAAATAGCTTCCTAGTTTTTAACTTCCTTTTTAGCCCCAGCATCCTTTTTGTCGTGCAATCTTATGTGAACCCTGTCCCAAATAAAATAGTTTCTCTGTTAAAGCAGAGATGTAGAATCAAATTTCAGCATTCCCCTAACCCCCTACCTCTCTGTAGAACTCTGTACCCTGAAGAACACAGATAGTATGATCCCTTTCTTGGAAAATTCTCACCCCAATACATCCTTCCAATTCTACACATATACAGAAATATAACAGGAGTGATAGTCACTAAATGTTAATACTGGGATTTATTCTGAGTGATGGCATTTTAGGTGACTTGTTGCTTTCTTTCTTTTATTTTTTTTTTTAAAGATTTTATGTATTTTTTTTTTTCGAGAGAGAGAGAGGAGGAGAGAGGAGGAACAGAGGGAGAGAGACAAGCAGACTCCACGATGAGCACGAGCCTGATATGGGGCTCCATCTCACTACCTCAGTACCATGACCTGAGGTGAAATTAAGAGTCAGATGTTCAACTGACTGAGCCACTCAGGCGCCCCTACTTTCTTTATATTTTACCAGATTTGTTGAATTTTTACAAGCATGTATCATGTTTTTATAAAAAGTCACTGATTTTTTTAAAAGGAAATCTTTTTTTTTTTTTTTTAAGATTTTATTTATTCTTTTGACAGAGACATAGAGAGAGAGAGCACAGATAGAGCAGCAGGCAGAGGGAGAAGCAGGCTTCCCGCTGAGCAGGGAGCCTGACAAGGGACTCCATCTCAGGGCCCTGGGATCATGACCTGAGCTGAAGGCAGCCACCTAACGGACTGAGCCACCCAGGCGCCCTTAAAAGGAAATCTTTTGAGCAGATAATCTCTAAGAGCCTTTGAACTCTAGATTCTGTGAGCCATATTTAATTGATAATATGCTCCCTCACAAGAATCCAGTTATTTTTAGACCCAATTTTGATAAGTTTGATTATCTGGTTTTCCACCCCTTTAGCATTTTAACGGTAGCATATTACAAAGAGAGAAAGGGTCTACAGGGAAATACGTAGATAATCTGACCACAAGGGAGGAGAAAACTCTACAAATTTTATAAAACAGTTTCAAATATTTTTAAAAATACAACAGTAGTTCCCAAAGTCACCACTGTGATATTTAAGTATAATAAAATACAATAGTTGTTAGTTATTGACCTTGAATGGGCAAGCAAAGATTAAATTGTGCTTCAGAAACCTAGAAAGTATGTTTACAAAAACATAATTTAGGGGCGCCTGGGTGGCTTAGTCGGTTAAGCGTTTGACTGTTGATTTTGGTTCAGGTCATGATCTCAGAGTGTGAGATCAAGCCCCCGTGTCAGGTTCCATGCTCAGCGGGAAGTCTGCTTCTCTCTGTCTCTCTCCCTCTGCCCCTCCCCCTGTTCATGCTCTACATGCTCTCTCATCCAAATAAATAAATCTTTTTAAAAAGAAAAACCTAATTTATAAAACCTAATTTTTAGAAAAATTAAGAACTTTAATGAAATAATTTAGACTTTTCAAAATAAAGAATGTTTTATTTTTAATGAAAGTTAACTGTCGGCTAACTAGAAAATGTATTTATCCAGAATGACTAATTTTCCTAAGATTATAGTTAACCAGTTTTATTGTGATATTGAATTATAAACTTATACTCTCAAAGTCATGTAATATTTTAAGTAGGTACATTAAATAGCATTTTACTCTCATGTGAGTAATTTTGTCTAAGCCATGGAACAAATTAGGTCTGTGGACTGGGCTGGGAGGTCAGAGACTCTTTGTGTTCTTATCAAGACTTTTGTGGAAATCAGTAGTGCCGAAGGGGTAGAAGAGAAGGGGGTATAGAATTCTGTTACAATTTAAACTTTACCTTAATGTGTGCTAATGTATTTGAACCCTGTAAATGTCTAGACCAGAAACAATCAGACATGAGTTACAATTTAAAGTAATAAAGTTTATGTGTAAACATGGTCTTAAAGTATTTTACAAAGGCTTTAAGGTATAATTGGCCTTTCTTGTGAACTTGATCTGATCTTGTTAGTACATAATAATATAAACACTTCTTATTAACGATTTTTAGCTTTGTTGTCTCTTCATTCACAATAACATTAAAGCACCAGATGATGATCAAATTTGGAACATGGAAAATACGTTAAAAAGAGACTAAGCTGGAAAACTATCACAGATTGATAGGCGAATTACTGTGATTCTAGCAAACTCTGATTGTATTATGTAATCAGTTTTGCTAGTAAACCTAAAATTGATGATGAAAACCTGTCTGAATGTGATTGTGTTTATAGCCATTACTTAAAGATTACAGGTTCTGAATATAGCTAGCACTCTTATTTAATGTAATAGATCTTGAGTTTTGTTTTTAGAGCTTCGGTTTTTATTTTCAGGTCACCAAACAGGAAGACGATTGACAACAGAATTAGTGAGCTGTTTACACAGCATTCTGTGGAAAAAAGCTGCCAGATGTTTTGAGGTTTGGGAAGAATCTATTTTCATTCTTTATATTCTTTCTCTACCCTAACAAATAAGTGTATTCACTATAAAAATCATAGAGCATCAAATATTTTAATAATCTCTCTGTTTAGGTACCATCTATGTATTAAATATTCATAATGTAGAATGTTAATGGGCATTGGATAAGAATTCATTTAAAACTACTAAGCTTGGTTCATCCCCATTGGGAGCTTACAATGTAGGGAAATGACATGTCTGATATTAAGATATAGGAAAGTAATTTATTTTAACATGACAAACAAGAAAGTCAGAGCTTTATTCCCTTTAAAAAACTATGATTTGGAGCACAGAGGATTTGTAGGGCAGTGAAAATACTATGAATGATATTGTGATGATGGATATTTGTCATTATGCGTTTGTGTAAGCCCATAGAATATACTACACCAAGAGTGAACCCTAATGTAAACTGTAGACTTTGGGTGATTATGATGTGTCCATGTAAGTTCATCAGTTGTAATATGTACCACTTTGGTACATTTGGTAGAGAATGTTGACAAAGTGGGAGGCATGTGTGGGGGCAGGAGGTCTATAGCCAGTCTCTGTACATTTCCCTGTTTTGCTGTGAACCTAAAACTGCTCTTAAAAAAAGTTTTTGTGCAATTTAAAAATGCAAAAACATGGTAATATTTTTTCTCTTTACAAAACAATCCAGGTTTACTATGGAAAAAATTGACACTTCAGATAAGTTGTGTGTTTGTTTGTTTGTTTGTTTTTTTTAGAAAGTAAAGAATAGGGGTTGGCTCATTTGGTAGAGCATGTGACTCGATCTCGGGATCATGAGTTCAAGCCCCATGTTGGGTGTAGAGCTTACCTAAAAAAAAAAGAAAGTAAGGAATAGTCGAGAGCACGGGCAATTAATTTCTCAGACATCAGCTGTAGCAACATTTTTCTAGACATATCTCTTGAGGCAAGGGGAACAAAAGCAAAAATAAACTATTGAGACTGCATCAAAATAAAAAGTTTCTGCACAGCAAAGGAAACAATCAACATAACTAAAAGGTAACCACTTGAATGGGAGAAGATATTTGCAAATGACAGATCCAATAAAGGGTTAGTATCCAAAATATATGAAGAACTGATACAATTCAACACCCCTTCCCCCAAAATAATCCAATTAAGAAATGGGCAGAAGACATGAACAGACATTTCTTCAAAGAAGACATCCAGATGGCCAACAGACACATGAAAAGAGGCTCAACATCACTCATCATCAGGGAAATGCAAATCAAAACCACCATGAGATATCACCTCACACCTGTCAGAATGGCTAAAATAAAAAAGACAAGAAACAACAGGTGTAGGTGAGGATGTGGAGAAAAAGGAACCCTCTTGCATTGTTGGTGGGAATGCAAACTGGTGCAGCTACTCCGGGAAGGAGTATGGAAGTTCCTCAAAAAGTTAACAGTAGAACTCTCCTATGATCCAGTAATCATACTACTAGGTATCTTCTCCAAAAATACAAAAACACTAACTCAAAGGGATACATGTACCTTTATGTTTATAGCAGCATTATTTGCAACAGCCAAATTATGGAAGCAGCCTGAGTATCCATTGATAGGTGAATGGATAAAGAAGATGTGGTGCATAAATATATATATATATATATATTATTATTAGACATGAATATTAGACATGAAATGGAATATTTGAATATTAGACATCATGGAATGGAATATTAGACATAAAAATGAATGAAATCTTGCCATTTACAATGACATGCATGGAACTTGAGAGTATTATGGTAAGTGAAATAAGTCAGAGAAAGACAAATACCATATAATTTCACTCATATGTGGAATTAAACAAATGAGCAAAGGGGAAAAAAGAAAGAGAAACCAAGAAACAAATTCTTAACTATAGAGAACAAACTGATGATTACCAAAAGGTAGGTGTGGGGGCGGGGAATGGGTGAAATAGGTGATCAGGATTTAGAAGTGCAGTTGTCTTGATGAGCATGGGGTGATATATGGAATTGTTGAAGCACTACATTGTACACCTGAAACTAATATAACACTGTATGCTAACTATACTGGAATTAACCAAAATGTAGTAGAGATCATACTTGTGTGTTTGCCTGAGTAATTGCTCCCCCCCCCTCACTGATAACCTCCCTCCAAAGAAATGAAAAAAACAAGACAAAATAAATGAAAAAGTGGTTTTTGAGACGCTGGACATCAGGCAATGGAGAGTAATCTTTGGGTGATAGGAAGTAAGCAAGGTGAGTACTTAAGTTGTGTAGCTTACTCCCTTGAGTTTCCAGGCTGTAGCACAAGAAGAGGAACTGAAATGGATCCTAGCAGTCTTCCTAATTTAAGGAGATGGAGCTGAGAGTCTAGGGAGACCAAAGCAGCTAGAGTTCATAAGACAGGGTGCCAGGGAGAAGAGCACAGCTCAGAAAGAGACCCCCAGCAGTCAGAGAGTCCTCCTCCCTTGTTTAGCCAAATACTAATTAGGACAATATGGGATGAGAGGACCTGGAGCTAGGGGGGAATAACCATCTAAAAATATTAATGTGGGAACAGTGCCTGGCACTCACAAAGGTCTGGGAATAGGGCCTGTTCATACTAGCCAGACAGAAAATCCTCTAATTCATGGGACATTAGGTAGAAAACTCAGGCAGGTCTTGTCTGAGTAGTGGGGAATAATTAGTTCTGCACTGAACATTGTTCCAGACTTACCTAAAATATCAAAAGTATGACCTGAAAGGATGAAATTGATCCCAATAAGCTTAATTGCTTCCCAGAGTAGAGGTCAAGAATATTTATCAGAATACCAAACTATCCAGCACCCAACAAAGTAAAGTATACAATATTTGGCATCCAATAATAAATTACCAAATATACAGTGAGGCAGGAAAACACTTTATAATGAAGAGAATGAGCAATCACTTGAAACTGACATGAAAGTTAGCATTAACTGAACATTAAAATACCTCATATAATTTTATTCCATATATTCAAAAAGTAGAGACACAGAAGATAAAAAAGACCCAAGTCAAATTTCTAGAGATGAAAACTAGGTCTAGGATAAAAAATATATTGGGTAGTATTAATATCAGATTAGACATTGCAGAGGTAAAGATTAATAAACATGGCAATAGAAGCCATCCAAAATGAACCACACAGGGAAAAATTTTTTTTAAATTAAAATAGCATCACAAGCTATGGAAAGACTTCAGGTAGCTTAATATATGGATAATTGGAATCCCCAAATGAAGAGAGAGAATAAATATATGAAGAAATAATGGTTGAAAACTTTTAACATTTAATGAAAACTCTAAATCCGCATATTTAAGATGTTTAGCAAACCCCAAATACAAGAAACATGAATAAAACTAAACCAAGGCACATAATAATCAAATTGCTCAAAACCAGTGATAAAGAGAGTATCTTAAAAGCAGCCAGAGAAAAATGACAGCCTGCATACAGAGGAACAAATTAAGGAAGACGCTGGATTTTTCATGAGAAGCAGCAAGCAAGAAAACAGTAGAGCAACATCTTTAATATAATGAAAAATAACTGTAAACCTAAAATTCTATACACAGAACAAATGCTGTTTAAAAATGAAAAGTAGTTGGTAGGAATGTATAGAAAGAAATCTGTAGTGCACAAACAATGAATCATGGAACACTACATCTAAAACTAATGATGTAATGTATGGGGATTAACATAAGAATAAAAAAAATAAAAAAATAAAAAAATAAAATCTGTAAAAAAAAAAAGAAAGAAATCTGTAGAAAGCAGTATGGTGGTTCCTCATAAAATTTAAAATAGAATTACCATATGATCCAGCAATTCCAATTCTGGATGTATATCCAAAAGGATTGGAAGGAGGATTTATAATTCAAGAAAAAGGAGATAAAATAGTATTATGAAGAATATTTAATAATCCAAAAGAAGCAGAAAAAGAGGAAAGTAGGTAGGACAAATGGATAACAAATAGGAAGATGATAGATTGAAATCTCAGCATATGCAAAACTCACATTAAATTAAAATGACCTCAACTCTTCAGTGAAAAACAGACATTGTCAAAATGGGTTACAAAGCAAGACTCAACTTTATTTTATGACTGCTTAAAAGACATAAATATGAAGATACAAATAGGTTACAAGCAAAAGAATGAGAAAAAATATAGATATTCTAAAATTTATACATAAAAGCAGAGGAATGAAAATAGCTAAAAATAATTCTGAGAAAAAAGGAACAGAGAGGGAGGAATTACTCTACCTGACTTCAAGATTTATATAGCTACAGTAATCTTGACTGTGTGGTATTCTCAGAGAGATGAACACATAGACCATTGGAACTCAGTGGAGAACCCCAAAAGAATCCCATACCAGTGTGCTCAACTTATTTCCGATAATTTGCAAAAGGATTCAATGGAAGAAGAATGGTCTTTTCAACTAATAGTGTCTGAGTAATTGCACATCCATAGGCAAGAAAGTTAATCTTGATCTAAACCTTACACTTTATACAGTTAACTCAAAGAAGAATCAGTGACAGGAGGAAAACTGGAAAATTCACAAATACATAGAAATTAAACAGCATACTCTTGAACAACCAGTGGGTGAAAGAAGAAGTCAAAAGAGGGGAAAGAAGGTGAGGCAAACCAGGCAACAGGCTCTTAACTATAGAGAACAAACTGAGGCTTACTGGAGGAGAGGTGGGCGGGAGAATTGATTAAATAGGTGATGGGTATTAAGGAGGGCACTTGTTGTGAGGAACACTGGGTATTATATATAAGTGATGAATCACTAAATTCTACACTGGAAACTAATGTTACACTGCATGTTAACTAACTGGAATTTAATAAGAATTTGGAAGATAAAAAACAATCTTGAGACAAATGAAAATGGAAACCTAAGTTACCAAAATATATCGGATGCAACAAAAGTAGTTCTAAAAGGGAAGTTTATATTGACAAATGCCTCAGTAAACAACCTAGTACACTTATCTTGAT